TATATCGCATTCTATTGTGGGATTGTCGATGGAGCAAAGTCGTATTTGCTATAGTAATAGACCACATTACTTATTTCTCACTTATAAGTAGGTTTTCGAGACCATCAGTAGATAATATATATGGAGTGTATTCGCCCTATTTCGTGTAAGGTGATAAGGAAATTATAGGTCGAATTTTCCATGATTTATATGACTATACCCTACTTTTCCATTGAATTTCGCATAATCTTGCTTTAACCTAGCCTATTTCAGTAATTAAGGCTTTTTCTGGCAAACTACGCTAAGAAATCGAATACATCGTCTGTTTAGACCTCTTTATAAGTTCTAGAAGGGCGATCCTGAATGTACCTGGATTCAATGCTACATTGCTTTTATCTAAGACTTCAAAATATGTAATCTTTCGTCTTCATTCAACTCGGCCCTCTCGGACATTTACCATTGTTAGATATGCTTAGTCGAATGTAAAATTCAACTTATACATTATAATTAGGTAACAATATTAACACCTTCATTTGTTGTTTCAAGGTAGCGACGAAGTAGCTGCTAGGATTTCATCTGTTGCCCCAGCAAACGGGTGCTCGACCACAGAGGCTTCGATTGGTAGGAAGCCTGATCGCGACGTCTCAGATGTTGGTGCAGTTGCCGCAGTAAACGATAATGATGAAGATTGGGAAAGTACTGATGAAGCGGACGATTGTGGTCAAGTTGGTGACGATTCGGCCGCCTGCAACGAAGTCAGTAGTTTGCCTGCCGTTTCCAGTGATGAGCATGCAAGCGACCTGGATCTTGAGGATAATGTAATGCCAAATAGTCTGTCGACACCCACAATCGCCACTAGTCCACCCGGATCACGTCTTGTAGGCTCCTCATCTGGTGATAGGACTAAGTCAGGCTTGTTCTCTTCCGGCGTCCGGTCGGCTTCTGGTCATTTAACTCCGATCACGGCAATCGCCAACACTGCAGCAACTATGACCAACACTAACAATATCACTACTAGTGCTGCGGCCACTGCAAGTGATGACCCAAACGGGTCTGTACTTGGACTTGGGAGCGGAGGATCAAGTAGTTGCACGGTCAGTCGCTCTTTCTACGGCTCCGACCTTATGGCACCTCTGCCGCCAATCACCAGTTCTGTGTGGGCAATGGATAGCCCTCGTCGAATGGAGGAGCACTTGACCGCGGCTAAGACAGGTTTGTGTAATTACATGATGTTGTTCTTAGCTGAGCGAATTTCATTTTGTGGCCTACTTTGAGTTAATTGAACACCGATTTTGTGGTTTGAGTCGCGTTGAAGAGGCCAATCATGTCTCGACATACACAGTCGTCATCTTTTCTACTGCACACTTCATGTTGACATTGTACTTTACGCAAAGGCTCAATTAGCACTTGTGTGTTGTAACCAACCTTCGTCCCATAAGTATATCGGCACCAGGTATCCTGGTTTTTGGATTAAAGAAAATTGAACCGGCTTCTTGTTTGTTCTCATTATTGACCAATCTATGTAATTGCATCCTATATCTATTATAATTATTTCTCTCAAGTCGTTTGACTAGCAATTGCAGCAATAGTAAAACCTATTTTGTTTGACGCCTTCAAATTCTTGAATCCTATATCCCTCCATCGCCTGGTTCACTGTTATCTAAAGCAGACTTCAGAATGAATGGCCAATTAGCTAATTAAGGCGATGCGCACTATTCATAATCTTTACAAGTGTCAGAGCTCACGATAAGCTCCCCAGAATATTGATGGCTATTGACAATGTTTTTATAATAATAAAAAACGGATACAATTAATTTATTTTTTTCGTTTATAAGCAGATTTTCGAGACTACCAGTAAATCAGTTATATTG